AGAGTTCTTGCCCATGTCAGGCAAGTTCTTGAATCTTGCCACATCTCTAAATTGCTCTGGTATAGAATAAAACAAAATTTATAGCTTCCATTTCACCACATGACATACAGTCTTAGAAACTGGACTTCATAGTAATAATAATCAAATATGAGTAGAGCCAGTAACTTTACCCCAAGAGTTTAATAGTAATGGAGAGGTAGTTTCTATTGAGGAGCTAGAGGTCACAGGGGATGGACAGCAGCTGTAACAGTTAAACACAAATTTTTCAGTCATTTTACTGCAAATTAGGGTGTTTTTTTTAAATTTTTTTGTTACTTTTTGATGATGTTGACAGGAGATTGAATAATACTGTTTTGCTTGAGCACATTCAGACAAGTCACTACCAAGTTTGCAGAAATATATTGTACTTATTTCAGAAAAATACAACCCTCACTGAATTCAACCAGAATTTGCCAGACTGAAGACTATATAAAAATAGTCCATAAGTTTACCATACTATAGTTGCTGATGCACGGAGGATACTGAGTGCAAACCAATTCACTTAAAAAACTCACGACCCTTCAAGATGTGTAAATCTGCTAGACCAAACTATGGGTTTATACAGTTTTTCAGTTTACAATCATAACAAAGGGAAGAAGGAGAAAGGCAATGAAATTCCTTGTGGATCAAATACTAGCATGGAAATAGGAAGAACTCGATAATTTCCAAAGAGAGGTGGATTTTGCTGAGTTTGCAAAATCATAAACTTCTGAGGAAAGGTCAAAGGAGGGATTCCACAGCAGGGTAAGAAAGAGTTTAATAAGAAAGTCTTGGGTATCTGATGTTCATCTACTGTACCTAATTAAGAAATGCTGTGTCTGGTATTCCTTAAACTATGATTATGCATAATTCATGAAACAGCTGCTATTGGAAGCAAGTCTGCTTCTCCAGTAGTGTGATGTATGCAGGGTAATGCTTATTTACTCTGCTTTAAACATGATTTTAACAGCAGCACATCTATATCATTCTGAGCTCGCTAGGAATATATCCTGACTAGGCTTTGATTGTAATGCTTCATGGGCAAAAATCCAGAGTCAAGTCATTTGCACGCTAGAGAGCTGTCCCTACGTAACTGAGCTCTTGGCCACAAGGTGGGTTTCTCTCTTCCTGAAAATTGTTCGTACCATTTGGATTTGATCAGCTTCCCTCTTTTCTACCAAAACAGTTATTGTCAAAACTTTTGAACATTCTTGTGAATTATTAATGCACAATGCTACATAAGTCCTTTTCACTAGGTCAACAGTAACATCCTCTCAACATTGCAAAATTTCTTCCTGCACTGTCTCCATGTGAGGTAGTTCTTTTCAGTGACAGTATATGAAGCTGATCACAAAAAATCAGGCTGCCCCTGGTACACCAGAAGTGGGTAGTAGATGTTTCCCAACATTTGCCAAGCACAAATACTGGTAGTGATAACAGTGCTCATAACCAGGTAAGAAATAAGATGAGACAGTCAGGTAATTCCTTTTGCTTCCCATCCAGATACAACTGTCTGGTTTGTCCTGTTCCATATAACACACTTTATTCCATGTTGTCCCCCACATGAATACAGTCGTGGGTTTTTTTTGTAGAAATACATTCATATTCAGTGGAAAACAAATTGTATTTGGGAAACAACATGAAAAAAAATATCCAGATGCAATTACAGAAGGCATAACAATGACAAGTACTTTAAATGCATATAGGTTAGATCATGATAATAATTCTGAATTGTTTTAGATCCTCTTTTATGTTATTCTTTTTCTTTTTGTCTCATTCCATCAGCAATGTAGTAACTGGAGCTAGAAAAGAGTGTTCATTCCCAGAAATATTTTGAGCCAAGCCTGTTACTTTTTCTGGCCATCTATCCCTGCCAAATGAGATTCGTGTTATTGCTATGAAATGCTAACAGTCTTAAAGAGCGAGACACCACCTGCTGAAGCTTTCAGATCCCCAAACAGGAACTGTAGGCTTATTACAGTGAACTATAAAGACACTTGCAATATTTAGCAAGGAAAAAAAAAACATTGCTTGGAGATGAGATTAAATTTAATACATTTTGAACTACTATCTACACTAGCTTCCTGTGATATTATTTTTTAAAGTAACAACACTCAGAACTCAATAGGATAATTTTTTTTCTTGATCAGTCTAGATTAATTCTGTCAAAACTATTTAAGTCTCAGATATACAATGAAGTCACAGCAAATTACTCTAAATCAGCTGAGGTGTAGTAACTAAAGTAACTTCTTTTTTTTTTTTTTTTTTTTTTGAGCTTCTTGCAAATATCCTCACATAATTCAGCTTACCGAGTTGTGATAAATCTGATTATGTTACATTGCTGTGGGCTAAAACATACACATGAAAAGTTATCATAGAATTCAGCTGATACACAGTAATGTGGTAAACTAGCTTAACCTGATCACGTATCTGAGCTTATTTTCAGGGCTAGAGAAAAAAATAAGCTCTGCTCCCTCCCTCCTTTTGTTCCCAAGTGTGCAGTGTTTGCAGATGTGCATTTATTTGTTATTTCTTATCTGGGAACAAAATCCTTTTACGCTCTAAGGAACTTAGTGCCATTTCAACTGTCCTGCATTATTTTCAGAAAGAACTTAATGGACCAAAGGAAAAATAGAATTCTCTCAGAAATCCAGCTGTGGGAGCATGGGAGAGTTCAGATGGGAACGGTACATCCCATCTGAAAGATCTGAAAGATGTAAATGAGGCTATATTTGCTTCAAGTGTCCCAATACATGCAAATAAAGCTATTTCATGTTAGTGCTTGAATACTGTGATCGATTATGTGAAAGACTTGCTCAATGTGCCAAAAGCAATCCTTTCATGAATTAGCTCTTCCAGACACAAAGTACTGGAGCTACTGTGCAAGTGGAAGTACGACAAACTATGTTTTGCAGCTTTCTTTTGATTATTCATTCTTATATGTATATTCTTAGGGAACAAAAATTATAGTGATAAGTGAATTATAATAGTCTGGTTTTGTTTTGTCTTGCAAAATGGCAAATGCAATAGTAGAATCAAATTACTCAGAAACCCAAAGAAAACATGAAGAAAAAGCAACCAGCAAACTTAGTTTATACTACCTAGTATTATTTTGCAACAATTTTAGTGATCTTTGATTTAGTTTAATCTTTGGTGCAGAAGGGAGAAACTGTCATTTCTTGGATTCTGTAATCTGTTCTTCCGGAATCATTGGATTGTTGGGCTGGATTTAGGAGTTAGTATGAAGAATCCTTTTGCTATCTATCTAATTTCAGCTGTTCCCACCAGATTCTATATATATATTTTCTATGTATAGATAGTAAAAAGAAATTAAAAGAAGGAAGGCGGGCATGGCAACAGAATTAAGATTTTTGAATCTATAGACCAGACAACTTTTGTGCCATCAGATTATTTTCATACTGCCAGCTGCAGTCTTCATGATCATAAGCAGAACACGTCTGTAGCAGATGGAATATAAAACATATTCAGGAAGCCAAATTCCTGTTTATGCAGTGTGACATCATAGACCTTATCACAGAGACAAAAAAACTCAGTCCCCAGCAGTCTGGTTTGCCATGAACCCAACTGGTTTAAAATTAGGGAGCTGCCTGTGAGACCTGATATCACTATTTCCCTCTTCCCACTAGTACATTAACACAACGGTGGAGACGTGGGCCATACATTTTAGAGTAAAGGGATAAGATATAAGGGCCAGAAGGTGACACAAACTTCCAAGTAAGATTCACAGTTTCCACTTTTACAATAGTAAAGGTGTTTATCTTTCTCAACATATTGTCTCATTCTGAACCAAGGTTATCAGCTTTGCTCAAAGGCAGACATCATCAGCTGACAATCAACATGAGACCATAATAACATGGCAGCTCTAAAATACAGCCTAGACTCTCGTAAATGTTTCTGCTGGTGCACTTATATGCAGATGCTTTCTGTCTGAAGGCTCTCCAGAGTATGTGCTGTAGGCAGTAGCTACTCAGTTTCGCTAACTTGGAGAGAAGTTTCCCATGTTAGGCTTTGCTCCTTTTGAGGAGCATAAGACTCCTTCTAGATGGACAATCCACCATGAGCTGCAAAGTTGTCTTCAACCAGCAGAAGAGAGAAAAATATAAGCTCTAAATTAAAAATCTCTATACAGAAATCAGCCAAAATAATGCCAGACAAATAGTATGTTGAAATTCTGTTATGGGTATGCTAAAACCACTCATCATTGTTCCTCTCTATTGACCTCTGCTTTCCCGAGTCATAAACAAAATAAGTTATCATCAAGAACACAGAACCTGAGATCAAATTTACTCACCACTTATATACGTGCTTAAACTTTCCTACTTTATTCCATGAACATGGGCCATGTTATTTGGAAATATGGTTGGACACTGTCTGAGTTCAAATGCTAAATATGTTTTTTAATTCCTCTCTTGATTCTAAAAATCCTGAACTTTGTTTTTGTTGTTTTTTGTTTTTGTTTTTTTTTGATTTACAGCCTCCTCTACCAAGACAACTTATGTCAGCTACAGCAATCAGGCAAACTGAGGAGTGATGAAATTCACTGGAAGACCTGCAGGATGGGATCTTGCAAACATAGACTTTACCAACACCAGAATTCAGTCTTGGAAATATCAGTAGACTACATTCAAATCAATAGTCAGTCTCCTAAAGGACAAGGATTAAACAAGAGGCAAAAGGCTAAAAGAGACAGGGGAAGGAAAAGTCCAGTTTTATAACACAGAAACAATGTCAAGCTTCTGAACTGTTCACTCACAAAACGAAGTAAATCACAAAAGGAAAACAAACGTTAGCTTGTGAAAAAAAAAATGCTGTTGAAATAAATCATGTCTGATGTTATATTTGTAAGTACTTTTTTGTGATTGTGACTATTTCCTTTCCTGTCCTACATTGTTCAACTTGTAAAAGAAGATGAGTTTGTTTCTTGTGGCGGCTGACTGAATTAAGTCCTGGGTTATGCTGAAATAAATGCAATGGTCAACGCATGCTAATTTTTATACAAAATAATTTATTTCTAATAATAAAGGAATGTTTTGCAAATGTTGAGACTTGTTTTGTTGCAGTTTTAAGGAAAAAAAGTCCTTACACTGTTGTCTATTGTTTGTTTAGAATGTGCAGTAAAGGTGGGTGTACAAATAAAATAATAATCATGGCATCAGAAGAATGCAGTGTAAACTCTAAGCATGTGTGTGTGTATGTGTGCACGCGTGCGTGTATGTACGTGCATGCCTGCATGCATGCGTGTGTGTGTACTCTGCAGTGTGTGAATTTATTTGTTCAAAGCTTTGTGACTATGTTTTCTAATGGAAGGATTCCCCTTTCCCACCCTCAAAGTAAGTGCATTTTACATGTTTGTAAAGTGAAGGAGTCCTGACGGTAATTATTTTGTATGACTGTATTATATTTTTGAACCTCCACTAATAATTTTGATCCTTTTCATTTCTGGAACTTACAGTTTGTAAGACTTTATGACAGCTAGACTGGATTAAGCTGAAAGTCTATTCAGCCTAGTATCCTGTCCCTGACAGGGGAATGTAGCAGATGCTTATCTCAATAAAGGTGACTTTGAAATAACAGGAGAGAAATCAATGGAGAATTTGGAAAGCAGTAACTTAATGGATATATGTACTATTGCCTTATTAACACTTAAAAATCAAAGAAATAGATGTCCATCTACAATCTTCACGTCTTCTGACTCCCATGTCAAATGATTGTGCGCGCATTAGAAATGATTATTCAAAGAGAAAGAGAAAGTCATATAGACACCTATCATGTTAATAAATTCATCCAAATAAGTTTAAAAAAGACAGCTAGGGCCTTTCCACTTTGTTACTATACCTGTGATGTTCTTTAAGACTTTTTCACTACATACACCACTTACCATTCGTCAAGTCAATGGGTCTTCACAATAAGTTATTAAATGTTATTTCTCCTGAATTAGCCTGGATGGCTCCTTGTGCTTTTTTTCCTCAAAGGAGCTGTATTTTTATAACATGCCTTAAAGAAGCTGTGATGTGTCCTAAGTTACATGAAGGAAAGTTGAAGTATCTGAAACCGAATCTCTTACTATTACAATGACATTTAAACTCAAGCACAGTCAGCAACTGCATGGCAGTGAATTTCCACTTGAAAGTATTTGAAAAAACATCGTTAGTTTTTCCCAGCATTTAAATGCCTGAATTGTTAACCAATGTTTGCTTTGTATGGTTTTGTGTGTTTGGTATGTGTGATATAGTGTGTGAAAATTCCTTTTTTTTCAATTATGCCACAAGTACATCAGTCCCAAACCTATAAAATAATATACGATTAATTTTAAGCATGTGAGTAATGCAGCTAATGAAATTAGACCTGCAAAAAAAAATTCATAAAACCAGTTTTAGTTCTGTGTTTTTAGCCACTATTTCATCAAATTAAAGTTTTTTATGAAAATGGATTGATTAGACCAATGTTTTAACAAGACAGACTTCCATGTCTAGGAAGGATATCCTGAGACAGAAAGGATCTGTTTCATCTGAAAACCAATTTTTGGCAAAGTTTCAAGAAACCCTTGAAAAGTTTCATTTTCAATCCACAACAAAAAGTTTCACATATTTCATCTGTAATTTCTATACATAATAAAATAAGCAGGTTTTTTTTTTGGTTGAACAGTAGGGTAAAAATGGAATGCAAATTATTCTATGCATTTTCTGTGTCATTCTATCTGAAATATGGAGTATATTAATCCTATGAGTCTCACTGGTATTAATTTAACTCAAATGAGCACACAGTATGAATTACAGAATGAACTGGGATTTTTCAAAATACGGCAGAACAGTACTGGTCTACAGGTTTCGCTTCTATAGAGTAGTTATGTGCACTTGGTGCATTTGCACGGAATGGTGCATATCTGTCTACTGTAACTGTGATCAAAAGCATTTTCTCCTCTTGTACCCCTTCAGAGCTATGGAAGAATAATGCATTTTATTCTGAATGAAATGTCGACTTCCTTCTTTTTGGCTTAGGAGACTTTTTCCTGTACAGATAGCAGAGTTCCAAAGATTTTTTTCTAATAACCTGATTTGTGAGTTCTGCTTCCAAGACTGTGGCTTCAGGTGACTTTAAGTCCCGTTCGTGTGATAGATTGTGCATCAGCTCTACAAGTCCTAACTTCTAGGTTAGGTGACCTAAATTTTGTGACCCCACCTGAGCCCTACTTGGGGGATTATTGATTAAGAGACTGCAATCTACAGCCTCTAGCCAAGACTGATGTAGCTTCTTCAGCATCATCACTGAACACAAACAGTTCAGATGAAGGAATTAAATATTTTTCAATGATTGATTCTAATTAGTGGTCTTTTTTTTTCAGCTTATTGTAGCTTTGTTTCCAGTTCAGCTATTATAATAAAAAGAAACCTCCTAAAAAAAAAAAAAAAAAAAAAACAACCTATAAAGAAAGAATCAGAGAATTGTATAATAGGAAAGAAGGAAAAATTGCTACAATTTTGCAACATGAGTATAAAAAAGGATGAACTTTAGAAAAATTGCTTCCACTGCTCTTTACTTCTTATATTACGAGGTCCCTTTTTATGAGAAGATTGGGGGAATTCAGTCAGCAATAAGAGGACAAATCCCTGCAGATTCTGTTGTTATTGTACTTTTGAATACTCATATAGCTGCTGCATTTTTCTTCTCTCTCTATGAAATCGCCATCACTTAATCTTTCTATAGAGAAAACACACTTGTTTTTTTTTTTTAACAATCTCTGTTTCCACCTTGTTCTGCTCTTTATCTTATAGCATTGACTTTCATGAAGCTACAGTTAAACCATTATCAACATTTCCATTATGAATATATTATCTAACACACACAAAGCTTCTGCAGGTTGAAACTTGGCATGTATTGTCTTAGCATGTATGCAAAAGAATGCAAATGGAAAAATAGAATTATTTAGGTAAGTCAAAATGAAAAGTTTCCAAACAAAATAAAGTCCTGAGGCAGATGTATACAGAAGGTGGTAACGATTTAAAAACCGAGATTTGTCCAATGATCATAATACAGTATGTTCTAGATATGTACAATACAATTAGAAAAATTAAAGGAAAAATTGTAGGAAAGAACTATACAAAATTATAAATGTTCTGTATCCATTTTCACAAACCTTTTCACTCTCTTCCCTTCAAAGTAATTTTTGAGGGTCTACGACCCTAAAGTAAAAAACAAGTTATTGAAGGTGTTACCTTTAATTTAGCAGATTGTAGATCAGGCATCAGATGATTTATCATTAAACTAAACTAAAAAGCTATAGCTATATAGTTATAGCTATTTATAGTTATAGCTTTTTTAAACTTTTAGCTTTAAATAAATGGCTGTCGCTGAAAGCTACATTACTGATATATCATTTATTAATTATATTTTAATTGATAATTATAACCCTGAAAATGTTTTATGCATACAAGTAACTCTGATGCATAAATCATTCGTGTTTATTAAAAAAACCCTGCAAATTGAGTTTTATGAATTAAAATCGGTGTTATGGGACTGCTAAGCTAGATCTTCTGTTGGCCTGACTTTTGAGACACAGGGCACTTTTAAATCACCTAGTCTTCCCTGGTAATTGAAAGCGTATAGCAACTAGAGCTACAGAGGATCATTTTAACCTGATCTAAAATAATGAATATTAAGGGAAAAAAAGCCAGATAATGAAATCGTTAGAGGAATATAGACTATGATAGGTAAATCTCTTTAAGACTGATTGAAGCTAAACACCTCGGTACCCAAAAAGATCTAGATCTCAGAACCTTCCGTTTATGAACAAGGAATGGGTGAAGGTCTTTAACTGACCTGAAAACTTTCATTGCCTCACTTCACAGATGTGAGTGGTTCATTGCAGAAAAATTAAAATATGTGCAGATCAAAGCCTGGGTTGGTGCCTCTAGCTTGCAGACAGGTGACAGGGTGAGCTCCCCTGTCAATAGCATTGTTTTCTAACAGAGAAGCTGTCCCAATGTATAAATCCAGTGCATACTAGTTTTAGCATACTTTGGCAAGATTTACTCTCTTTTCAACCATACACTTCCATAGACCCTAAAGACACTCCATATGCTAAAGGTTTGATCCAAAGCCAAGTGAAGTTCACAGGAGTCTTTTAGTAGACTTAGTCAGAACCACCCAGAGGGACTGGATAATTCTACTTATTTCTAGTCCAGACTGTAACCTGAAACCCTCCAATGAAGTATAAATCAAATGGGCAATACACAACATCAAAGTACACTCCAATCTAATTTTTATCCAGAAGAAACTACAGTTGTTATGAATGAGGTCCCAGTGGCAAACCCAAAAGATGTACGCCAAAAGAACAGTGACTGAAGTATTATAGTAATGAAAGCCTGAAGGTTATGCCTTATGCACATTAGCGAGAGTGTCTGAAAACACAATTATCTAAGGTTTGTTAAACAAGAACTTTGTCTCAAGTATTTGCAGTCCACTCAGATTTCAGAGTAACTCAGTAGCTGAGATCTTGAAGTTTAATAACCAAACTCTTGTGTAGGTACAGTAATGTTTCTTTCATCTAAAATTACAGAAAGTCTTTATTGTACAAACTTACAGTTTAGTTCAAATAATGGAGAAGCGGATTCCAGTTTTAAAATTACTATTACGGGTCTTTATGTGTGAGTACACTGAAGCAACTCCATCAGCACACACAACTTTGTTTTACTGAGATCAGGAACAAGACCTTAATGTTGTTTTGTGACTGCAGGATAGATACAATGAGATCTGAATGACTCTATGTATCAGTTCAATGAACCAGAAATTAAACAGAGTTTATAGACAATACTTTAACTGTTCTATAGAAAGAGTAATGAGCCATTTTGTCAAAAATCCCCTTTCCAAGAAATGCCTAAATAACAATTTCCACAGTAGGGTTTTTAACTAATAGTACTAGCTTGCTTCCAAAGAATAGCTAATTTTTATTACAAACCAAGGAAAGAAATGAAGGAAAGCATTCCTAACAGATCCAGTTTGTAAACGGATTTTATTGCAATACAACTTACTCATTTATGTGTCTTCTTAAAGGCAGACTGTGAAAGCAGAAGACATAGCATCGTGGATGGATAAAGAGAAAATGTCTCTCTTGCAGCATTCTTTTGTAATGCTTTGGTTTGAAAATGTACATGA